ATATGTTGGCGACTTAACAAATCAAATTTCGAAGAGTTTTCATCAAGTAAATTTTATTTTGTTTCGTTTTTATGTTGTTATTTTATTATGCTTTGTTGCTAAGTTTACAAAGGCTGGCTATGTGGAATTTTGCCCTCCAATCAACAAGAAATAGGGAACTGGAACCTGGGTTGCGTTTGTGAAGTGTTCAGCTTACGCTTGCAGCCAATTAAAGCACGTCGAATTTTAGGGACTCAACACGGCACGTGCATCGATTTTTAATTGGGTACATGTAACTTGTAAAACAAAAATCTGGAACTCTTAGTGCCCTCTCTCCCCCAAAGCGCTTAAACCTCCGAAACCCTCTTTGCCGTCGGCCTCTTGCTCCGGCTTGGGATTGGTGGCAGCTTCTGCCCTTCCCTCCTCACCCTCCTCCCTTTTCCCTTTTCCCCTTTCTTCCACTCTCTATTGCATCCCTATCCCCCATCTCTCCCTGATTTTCCCCCTTCTTCCTCTTCTCCTTTTTTCCACCCTGTGTTTCCATACTTTCTCCCCTTCTCTCCCTCTCTTTCCTCCCGATTTTCCCATCTCTCCCTTTTTCTCCCACTCCACATTTTTTCCCTTCTCCAAACCACCATGGTTAGAGATTTAGATTATCTGTTTTTGCATTTAGCTTTCGGTTGTTTTCTTTTTGAGAATTTTGTGTCTCAGATTGTTCTAAGCGTGGTCTCAGTCTTCTCTGAGTTTATCTCAGATTTGTCTTCTTTGCCTTGTTCCTTTCCAAACATCGCTCCTAACCATGAATCTTCTACCATCTATCTTTGCGGCTCGTTTCATTGGGTGTCTTCTCCTACCACTTTGGTGGTTTGTAGCATTTAAAGTGTATTTTGCACTATTTGGTAAGATTATGGAAGCGCTCCTAAAGCGGGTAGCTTGTCTACCCTCATTTTCCGTTCATCCATTTGGTTCTTTGGCCCTTCTTCCAAGTGGTGACGACGGATCTGTGATGGCAGTGAGGCTGTTTTGGTGAAGGTGGCTGTATGGGTTTTTCAGTTTGGTTGCTGCTATGGGCCACTCAATTTGGGCCATTCTCAATGAGGTTTTCGTTTATGGAGTTGGGCATTTGTTTTTTTGGACTTTCTTAGAGTTGTCCTTATCTTTTATTAGCTTTCTATTTCAATAAAATTTATTTTGATTGTCCAAAAAAAATAAAAAAATAAGGCAAACATAGTCTTTATTCATAGAAGAAAATGTTACAAGTGATAAACTTAAAGAAAAGCTACCAGCAGGCCCAGTGAACAAAGAAATCTAAGCAAAGTACGTGATTACCTAATTAGACTCCGTTGTTGACTCAAGTAGTCAACGCCACAACCATTATGTACCCTACCAATCTGTTAACCGGGTCATGTGACATAGTCAACACCAATTAGGCCATCTCTAATCGAAAGATCCAGAGGGCTAGAGGGCCGAAAATAATGTGAAAACCGTCTTCAACCGAGAGCTATGTCAGAGGGCTGTGGAATATGAGAGGATCCCACGAAATTGAAGAGGGCTACAAGGCTGGCCAGAAAATAGAGCAATCCTGTCGGTTACCACGGAATCGGAGAGGGTTAGAGGGCTGGCTAGAAAATAGAGCAATCCTGTTGGTTATAACCGACAAGATTGCTTAAAAAAAAAATTTTTAATACAACGGCTAGTCAACTAGCCATTGTATTCAATTTTTTTTTTTTAATTCTTAAAAATTCTATTTTTTTTTCCCTACAAATACCTAAACCATTCATTAAATTTAAGTTCTAATTTTTTTGGTTTTTTGGGCCAGTTATCGTTGTAGTTTTTAAATTTAAGTTGTTGGATTTGAATTCAAGTTGTTGTAATTTTTAAATTTAAATAATAAATTATGTTTGGTCTTATGGTCCTTTAGCCCTTGATTGGAAACAGTTTTTTGTGACAGAGCTAAAACGAGCCATATGACCCTTTGACCCTCGGTTGGAGACGGAGACAAATAAGGCCTTGTATTGTTCATTATAATATTAATATCTTGGAAGATCTTGGCTGGCCAGAAGGCTAAAACGAGCCCTCTGGCCAACCATTGGTGAGATGGCCTAAAATACAAGGGTCATAAAACAAAACCACAAAAGCAAAACAGTCCCAAGTGAATTAACCTAATCTCTACATTAACAACAAAAAAGATGCACAAAGAATACATAAAATTTGCCTCTAAAAAGCTTAGCAACAGATATCAGTAGCCATAACCAACAACTAACAGGGAAAGACTTTCGATTTTAACGCCAACAAACCAAGAAGACAAAGTACCATCAGAACCGTAGAATGCGGCCCGGAGACTCAAATCAACTACAAAGTGATTTTGCACACCTTCATCTGAGTAAGCAACGATTCACTCTCGAGGTGGGTAGCTAACACAATGGCTAAAGAAGCTTCTCAATCAAAAGCAAGCATCTAGTAGGCAATTAAGTATTTGTGAGCGGAGGAGTGGAGGGTAGAGGAGAGCTCTCGTGTGATGCACAAATGAAAGAGATTTAAGTAGTTGTTCGGGTTAAGGATTCGAGATAAATTAGGGACTAATTTCAACCTAGTGCAGCAAATTGAATTTCTCCAAGTTGTGAGCAGAAAATCAAAAGGATAGAGAGAAAGCACCCAATATAAGATCGAGCTCAGGCCCACCACCGAAATTTGAGGATTGAGGCTCACTTCTTCCTGTTCAAGAGAGAGGCACAAGGAAGGCCACGCTTGATGGAGATGGAGAGGGATAGAAGAAAGAAGAAGGTCTTCATCAAACGCCATTTGTGGGTTGCCTGTAAATAACCGTGCGGGAAGGGATGAGGAAGGGGAGGAGGAGGCTCGAGGTAAGGGAAAGGAAGGGGGAGAAAAACGACGCAGTGGGAGTGGAGGCAGGACATCAGGGTAAGGGAAACAAAGAGAGGTAAGGGAAAAGGGAGGGTAAAGAAAGACGAGGCTGGGGGAAAGGAGGTAGGGCACAAGTGTAGGGGTGAGTAAAGCGAGGTAAGGGAAATGGAGGGGGAGAAAGAAAGAGGGGGGGGGGACGGGGGCGATGCAGGACACAAGGGAAACAAATGGAGGGTGGTAGTGGTGGCATGGTGTGTTGGAGGAGACAAGGTAGACAATAGGGTTGCCGCCGATCCTAAACCAGAGCAAGAGGTCAACCATTTTCAAATATAGGTTTTTGGGACATACTTTATCTTTACATCACTTGCAAGCGAAAAGCAAATGAAAACTTCATGAACATACGTGATCCGCTATCAAATTTATTTCAAGTCAATGAGCATTCTCAATATTCAATATTATGCCTTAAAGAGGACTTGAATCTCCACACTCTTTAGCATGAGATTTTGAGTCTCACGTGTCTACCATTTCGCTACCAAGGCATCTTAAAAGTGAATCGTATGTCATAAATATGATCTTTTCATAGCGATGTATTGAATATATGGGGAAGGTGAAATGTTAGAATATGTGTATTGATCAATTATGTCATGTAGGTCTAAGTCGACTATCCATAGCGGTTTTGGCATTCCTCATTTATCGGTATGCACTATACACTCTAAATTGAATATTTTACTATTTTTAAAGAACGTAGCCACGCCGATTCGCACGGATAACAAAACTTCCATAAAAACATAGGAAGCATAGGAAGCATAGCAAAAACACAGATAGGCAGATCGGCTTGAAGTACTAAATAAATCCATTGAACCGGACAAGAGTCTTGACCGGTGCTTGGTGTGCCTAAATGCATTTCGGATTACATCGATCTGAAGACAAGGCCTCAAGTTTATGATTTGCAGACTGAGATTTCAGGAGCACTATTATCACTTACACTCTCAAAGTGTACGAGCTCAGAGTCTCTTTCTGGAAGAAGACAACGACAAACCGGAACGACATCGTTTCGGACGCATGCAGGATACTAACACTAAAAAAATATCAGCAGAGAATCCTACGGCATCCTTGGGAATTTGGACACACATATAATATAACCACACAAAATATCGACAGAAAATATCCCCAACAACATTCATGAATCACTTCGTCAACACAATGTATGCATCGCTCCATGAGTTCATGTCATGTGATGAGAGAGATAGAGCGAGCAAAAATAGTGAAATGGATACACCCAAGAATCCCTGCTCGATGAACATCCATGATTGACGAAAATCTGGCTAGCAAGGCCAAGTTGAAAGAAAAGAAATGGATCAAGTAGTACTGTTGTAGTCGGAGTCTGTTCCAGAATTTGCATATGGTAGCGACTCTTCCACAGAAAACCAGCTGTTTAGAGAATGTTTTTGCAGATCCCAAACGCGCATGTCTAGTTTCTGATTGACTCAAATCTTATGATTCAACTTTGTGCTTCCCACTCGCTGGGAACATCAACTTTTGCAATTGCATCTCACCGCAACCAACAACGTAAAAAATGAATCACAACAGCCTCCAGGTTTCCACTTTACCTTTTTCCATGGCAAATGCGAGCTACACGGGAAACCCCTTCCACGAATTGGATACAGAATGGTGTCTATATTTCTATATCACTCATCATGTGACGTCAGAACACAAGTAAATTTTTTACCGTTCTAGGACGCTAGGACCACTAAGATAGAAACCTAGATGAAGGGGGCCAATTGCTCAATAATCGATTGCTTTGACAATATTAATTAGAACACAGATCAGTACAAAAGAAATGGATTCAGCCGACTTTGTGGAAGTCAGAGGTGGTTGTGCTTGTGTGAAGTGTGACTTCGAACTTCCATGACTTTTTGGGGTGCTCACTGCTGGACCACGTGCACTTACATTTCCACACATTTTTTTCTCCCAGAAATTTCCCATTGCACCCAAAGACCACTAACTTTACACGGTTCACGCTCCAACCAGTGTAGACATGTGACAGGTTGTGATTGATTTGTTGTTTTTCCATGAAGTCAATCTCAGATTAAACTTGTGTTTTTCATAACCCTGTCAAGTTCAATTGTTTCTGAAGTTTGTATGCAAAGAAAGTATGAAGCAAAGAAAGATCATTACTACTGAAAGAATGAAAATGCAACATCAAAAGAAGCTGAAGGTTACTGTTATTCTTGCAGCACAAGATATCCTTTAATCACATTTCCAACTTTGACAAATACGGCTATACAATCACTCTCCTTTCTTACCAGACATTTCTTTTACTTCTCTCTCTGGCTGGGCCTCTACAATTAAGTTGTATTCACGGCTCAAACAAAAAGGACAAAGAATAAGACCTCGAATGGAATCCTCTTGAAATGGGGCAAAGCGTGGAGATCCACCGTTTCGCAGCTCCTCACTTCACTTGACGATCAGAACCTCCTACCGATTTTTGCAAATCTTCGGGCTACTCCGAATATGACTGCCTTTGTTAAGAGCCCTCGGTCAAGACTACAGGCAAGGGCAATAGCCCCACCGACAACTAGAAGCTTAGGTATGCTCTTCCCTTCTGGTTTGTCCGATGAATCCAACTTTTCTGACTTTTCAACCACCATGGAATCGCCCGTGCTGTTTTCAATAGATCTCAAGTAGTCTGCACTGACTTTGGTGTTGATCTGAGCCATGTAAGCACACCGTGAAAGTGGGGCTTCAGAGGCTCTCTCCTTCTGATACGCACGCAAGCCAGGTTCGATCTTTTTAACAGCTCCCCACATACCTTGCCGGACTCCAAGTTTTGCAAGTTCCCAAGGGATACCCATATCTTCGTGATGATAGAGTAAAATTTCACATGCAGTAAGCTGGCCATCCCCTCTCTTTGATTCAACTGGTTCATACCCAACAAATACAAGTCTTAGTGATGGTTCCCAAGAGCACAATTACGAAAAGAAAGCAATATGAACTTTCAAAGTTTGAATCAATAAAAATTAATCTGCAAATTGCACACCATAACAAAGAGATATCCCATTTTTTAATAGGTAAATAAAGAAGGATATCTTTCATTTAGGAAGATTGACAGATTTTTTTCACATTTCAGAAAGCATAAAGATGTTATAAGACTTCCGTTACCTGCTCGAATGCACCAACTTGAATAGTACAAGTCAACACGTCTAGGTTTGTCACGCCTTGGTACAGCAGAGGAGGGTACGCCCTGAAACATGTTAAATCACACCATTAGGTTATGCATCACGAGTTAATAACCTTAAAAACAGAACCGTTCTACATGACGAGCACTATCGCTTATTTTATTCCCAAACTAAGCACAATCAGCTCAAAACAAACACTTGCAACAATTACTAATATGTACAATCTGGAGTATAACTCGAAAAACTACTTTCATTTAGGACTCTCCACTTATTAGCACACCAAAGGACTTCAAATTACTTTAGATATGAACTCAGTACAATAAACCGACCAGTAGCTTCAAATGTTCAAAACCCTAAATTAGCTTAGCACTTCAACTATTCACAGCTACAATCTTTTAACATGCTAAATATAACCAATACTAGTGCATTAACTGTCATTATTTCACACAAGACATCCAGCCTTGCCAAGAAAAATAATGAAATTTGGACCCTAAAGGAATCCTTTTGACATTAATTTTCTTCTGCAAAATAAGTTACAGCAGCTTGCCTATGTGACTAGACTAGATAGTGCATTGATCTGAGAGGTTATATAGATAGCTAGATCTTCCGGTTAACATACCTTCGTTACGCAGTAGTATGTCCGTCCTGATTCCCAAATGCGACGACCTATCAAGTATTCTCTGTCGCTACAAAAAAATGGGAACTGTGTCCAAAACAAAGAAACAATGTAAGTAATAAGCCAATGCAGCAACGACAACTCAAGAATCAAAGGAGACAGTATCATTGTTCTTACCTTGCGCACCCAGTGCACCAACATGGTTCCGGTGGTTGGACATTCTTCCAAAGTAGATGCATGTACAAGCATGTCATCCCACTTCACTCGAAACTCATCATCCCAAAAGAAATCCCTCAGTAACTCAGGTGTACAGTCCTCATATATAGTACTACTGCGGTATTGCGGAGGTCCAGTCTAGAACGTATAGATGAAATCCGGTTAGTTAACCTCACCAACATAATACACATGAGCAAAACACGGTTATACATCTGAGAGCCACCAATATATCTATTGAAAAACGAATTGAGGATCGAATACAACGAAATGTAAAATAGCTACCTCGGGGTCTCTTCGCCAAGCTTGATAGCGCATAGTTGAGGTAGACCGATCCATCATATGAATCCAAGTAGGCCCTCCATCTTTCTCCTCAACAAGCTGGCATATGTGCCGTAAATCATCATTGTTCACATGACCGGAACTTTCTCTTTCAATCTTTGAGGAGCTGCCATGCCATATCATAAAATTCACTAATTAAACTAAAGCTCTGAAGTCTTACAAGTTAAACTGACCAAAATCCCCAATTCAACACATTACATACTAATCAAAGTTCCGAAATTCAACACATTAAACACCAAAACACGAAAAATAAAAGCAAACCCGAGTTGTAAAATTAGCCAAAGCACTCAAGAAAGTCAACAAACCTGAAATCAGGCGCCTCTTTCGGATTCCTATCGTCGGCAGGCCATGGAATGCAACTGGGCAGCTGAAACTTCAACGAGCTCAGTCCCGGAATCAAACCGATACACGTGGACGAACTCTGCGAGGACGACGAGGAAGAGGAGGATTCTTTTTGTTTTGTGATTGGGCAATCCAACAGCTCTCGGCCAACCAAGTTCGCCCATTTGGGCTTCCACGCCCACCCAACAAAAACCCCAACAACCACGGCAATCCAGAGAGGGGTTATGAACATCATCAACTCACCGAGCACCTCCACAATCGTGGGTCGTCTAAGAATTTCCAGAAAAGCCGACGCCAACGCCATCGTCGAGCAGAAAAGCAAAAACCCAGAAAACCCCAGAAGTTAAAAAACCGAAAGAAAAAAAAAAAAAGAGAAAAACCCTCGATTGAATCGGATACTGGTATGCAATAAGCACAGCGATTGCTCGAGGGTTTCAGAGAGGAAGGAGATAAGAAGATAGCAAAACCCCAATACCCAACAGAGAGACGGGGGATATTACTTATTAGATATATAAATACAGAGAGAAAAAACCAAAAAAAAAGGGAGAGGAGGAGGAGGAAGCAGAGAATGAAGGGATATAGATATGGTTTATTTGCAGAGAGAGAGGAGGAAGAAGACAGAGGAAAGGTGAGAGCTTTGGATAAGATTTCTGAGATAAGCGGTACAGAGTTGCGTTGGGGAGATTACCACAGCCTCGCAGAGCAGGGTCTTTGTTGTTTTCTTGTGCTGCTATTGCAAGTATTGCCCTTTGTTTTTGGCCAATGGCTCAACCTAAATGTTCAATTTTTTTACTTTTTTGGTTCCCTAATTATTATATAATTTTTGATAAAAAAAAAAAAAAAAGATGAGAAAAAGTGAGTGAGTTGTTTGAGTGAATGTGAATTTTCTGAGAAGATCTCAGAAATCTGTGGGTGTGGAATTTATGAATGGACCTTGGGATGATGAGTTGAATTGGTGATTTGGTCCTCTTTTTATACCATGGTAATGGTTTGGCTCTTTCTATGGTGGCCGCGTTTCCCGTTTTTCACGTTCTCTGACTTGGACTTTTATAGATTTCCTTTTTCTATCTTTTACTATGTAAAATGTTGGCCAATATAAAACATATGTTTGATTTGATTGGTTTTATTCTTTTTCCTCTATGAATAGTTTCTGAGATTATCATAACTCCTCATTTTTATCTCTGAGATTTGAAATCAATGAAAGAGATCCATAAGTGTGTCTATTATTTTGTAAAAAAAAATTATTAAAAAAATAAAACGACAAAAATACCTTCAAATTTTGTTGAATTGTTTTAGCTAATTGTTTATTAAATTGAGGATATTTTTGTCATTTTGTTACTTATTTAACAGATTTTTCCATGAACAACTAAAATTATTGATAGTGGGCAAACTCAATAACCACTTTTATTAATTTCAAATCTCAGAAACCAAAATGATGAGTTATGTCAATTTCCAGAATCATTTTGGCTAAAAAGCCTAAAAGTTTTTCACTAACTCGTCTTTTTTTTTTTAGGCGTTTTGGGTGGGGGGGGGGGGGAAGGGGAGGGAGGTCAAATTCACTAACTCATCTGAATAATGAAAATGAAAACGAAAACTCGTACTTGAGTGCAAAGTAGGTGATTGTGTAATGCTCTAATTCACTTAATTATGTAGAAAATAAAAATACAGAGTGAAGTGCGTGATGCTCTAATCAACTTAAGTTATGTCTACTGTATTTTAAATATTTAAGTTGAAATAGGTGGATAATTGTGACTTGCCACCAGTTGAATATCTAAAAAGCTTTTCTAGATGATGATTGTATCGGTTGCTGGTTTGCTTAAGTTAATGTTTATTGAAACTCTTACTAGCTCTTACAATGGTATTTATTTTTACTAGTAAGTGAGAAGTTCTAGTCATAGATAATGAGTTTGATAAAAATTTATTTTTACACCCCATCTTGTAAAATATCCTTAAATAACAAAATTTGTCATTAATAAAACAAAAATGATGAGCTATTAACTTATAAAATAGCATTTGAGGTATTAGCTTTTTTTTTTAAGTGTTAATAACAACTCTTTTTTAAAATAATATCATGATTATTCTTATTTTTATTGTTATGTGACTTTATTTTGAGTTTATGATTAATTGTTTTTTTTTAATAAACGATATTATCTATATTAAGAGGAAGGGGTCGGCTTAATCTCACAATGATCTAGTAATAATATGGTTCAAATTCACCTTTGACGATAATTGAACCTAAGACCTTTCATTTATAAGTAAAGAGGAATATCACTAGACCATAATATTAAGCAACGATTACGTATTTTTTATTAGTCGTGAAATTCAAATTAAATATAAACAGTAGAAGTTAATTTTCTCACTTCTCAGAGGAGTAGTACTCCAATTACTTCTACTTATCGGAGAAGTAATACCCCAATTATTTAGGGAAAAATGCCACCGACAAGGGGACAAGGGATGTAAAACAATTTTTTTTAATTAGAAACACTAATTTTCATTGTTTGGGGTCTAGTTAGGAACACTAATCATTTGTTGTGGTAGATAGAATGAGGCCAGTTTATTATTCATTTAATGAAAAGAAAATTAAACATATAATAAGATGGTTATTCAAAATTAAACAAAAATAAAATAAAAATGAAACGTATAAGGGGGGCTACTGTATCAGCCGCCATATCCTATTGGAATATAGGATGGTTCAACACCGTTAGATGTCAAATGAACAGCATTCCAGCATTTGACTGGTCGTGCGTGCATTCTTTCATTTATCAAAGGGAGGACGCGGCTTGATGTTCCCACCACTTAAGACTAGCAATTGAGAATTGACCTTACATTTTAATTGAGATGGTCCGACGCTGAAATAAGACTTGTATAACATAATTACTTCATGACAGTAATATCTCATATTAATGATATAATAACACATATATCAATGATACAATGACATTTGCAAGTTTTTTATTTTTTTTTTCACTGTCTGTTGTATTATTGACAAAAAACATGACAGTAATAATTTATCTATATTGTATAAACTTCAACCAAAAAATGATGGAGAAATTTCTCCAAAACCTCCAAGGTTATAAGGGTGCGTTTGTTGCACCGTATTATCTCAGACTGGACTAGCTTCAAGGACTAAGTCAACATATTTGGAAGATGGGGTGAGTTCGTGGTTTGGAGGTCTCAGCCCTCCAATTTTCAAAATCCCCAAATCAAATAATAAAAAAAAAATCTCAGCCCTCTCGATTCCAAGAGCCAACCTTCCCGAGAACTCCTCCAATTTTCAAAAAGCCAACTTCCTGATTCCAAGCACCACCGATGACCTGGCCACGATGACAGTGCTATAGAAAAAGAAGCCGATCCCGTGAACTGGAACTGGATGTTCGCCTCTTTTCTGTAATCCTACTTAATACCAAGCGAAAGCAGGGGATTAGCTAACGAGGTTTAGCGCAGGGCAGAGTGTCTCGTAGTCGAGGCGAGTCCTACTTATTCTAGTCCAGAACCTTACCAAACATAGGATTATAATCCTATTTAAACTAGTCCAAGCTAATCCCTTCTAAGGAGGTGTAACAAACACACCTAAAAGTACTAGGGTATACACGGAGTGAAATGAAGGTTAAGATGATCAATTCATATACCATAATATTTGGTCAAATATATATATATATATATATATATATATATATATATATATATATTGCTTGGTCTGCCCCAACATTTATTCCCCGTACGCCTCTGAATTGGCCAAACTCGTTGACTCATTGACCCTTTTGCATGGACATGCAACTACTTGATCGTGTTAATTTACTGGTTTATTTGCCAATTAATTGGAATTCAACAGTGCAAAATCAAACCATAGCCTAGTCAAATTATAAAAATTACAATAATTAAGAATGTGAACAGTCTGCAGCCAGCTGGATCTTGGTCAATATAGATGATTAATTTTCTTTAATCACCAAACTCGTTAAATGAGCATACTACACATGCGTAACACGCAAGCAACTGTGCTCCTAACCGTGCAAGCGACTCGTGGGTTTAGCACCACCGAATGCCTAGCGATGTGACTCTAACCGAGACATTGAGTACAGGTTTGGTACAGTTTAACTTTTTTTTAAAACAACAATAAAAGAATGAAGTGTTATTGATATTTCAAAAATTTTATTTTATATTTCTTATAAGTATATATTTTTTTTTAAATATAAAAAGTTTGGAGTGTAGAATGAGAATTTTGGAATTCCAATAACAATTCTCATAAAAAAAAGGCTGGGGAAATTTTTTGTTTGGTAAACACCTTGTAAGCAGGTTTTTTTCAAAATTTTGGATTAAAAAAATTGAAAACTCGAAGTAACAAAAAGAAGCATTAAAAAACCGGCTTTTTTTCTTCAAGAGGAGGGTGAACAGTGTTGTTTAATGAATTTTTCGAAATTCCTAACATACCCTCATTTCTCTCTTTCATCGTTCAAATCTGAAATTAGTTGGACAGCGAGCATCCATCGTGGAGAGCACAGAGCGCCTCCAGGTCGTGATTCATGAACCACTATATGTTTTCTCCTTCTCCTCCTTTAGCCTTCTCTTCCAAGCAGTCGTTTGTGAGTCTCATTTCCAAACTTGCAAATAAAAAGGAGGAGTAGTTTCGCTCCTCTTCTCCGTCAGCCCTAAATACGAAGTTTGAAGTCCCACTCGGAGAGTGGTATATATGGAGTCATAGACAAGCATCGTGCTACTGGAAATGTTTGCACCCTCGCAGTCCAGCAGATACACAATTTCGTGTTGAGCAGATACAATTATTTGTGTCAAAATGTTGTTCATGTAAGATACGACACAAAGAAACATTTGATACAAACATGATTATGTATGTATAGTTTTCTGATAAGAAGAAATGATGATTGTACATACTAATACAAATTGCAATGATGCGTCTTTCTCCTAAAGTATTGCACCTTGTTTACTTATCTACTGCAATTTACTTTCCCTTCGATTTCCTTTCTACAAATCTTCATACAAATTGCTGCATGAACACACATGATTAAATGATGACTTGTGAAATTCCAAACATCCTGTTAAGAATTAAGGTTGGGTCGAAATCCAAAAGAACAAAGTATATTAAGTAATTGACCTTTATTGATCAAACAATTAAATTAATAGCATATTTAGTATTATGTCATTTTTGGTTATTTTACACAGTCACAGCTGTTTTATGTAAAAATTTATCAAACATTATAGCATTGCTTTTTCCTTTTCTTTTTTCCAAAAACACTTTTACAAAAAAATTTACCAATCACTCTTTATTTTATATCTACTTATTCTCACAGCACAGCTAGCACAGCTGAAACAGTATTTTTTTTTAAATACAACAATTCCAAACTAATCATGAGTGAGAAGAACGAGCACCACAACATTGGGTAACTGCTTAAAAGAAACCAGTCGATGACAGAAATACAATATGGCAGTGAAACCGACCATATAATGGTTGAAATACTTGCATGCTTTCGTCGTGTAAATTATGTTATATGGTAAACGAGTTCGCAGTCA